ATTCGCGAGGGTTCGAGTGGACATGACTCAGAGTTAACGAGGCAGTATAGATGCGCGAACATGATCCCTTCACAACAAAAAATAATTCCTATATCCGTTCACTGACTTATTTTTAAAAACATTCTATATCAAAATCAAAGAGATGAATATATCGGAAATATCAGACTATTTTTGGCCAATACCGATACAAATACCGATATTGGAGAAATGGCCGATACCAGACAAATCAGGACCTATCTACACTAAATGACCTTCAAACATATTCTCCCGGCCACTGAGATCTTGAAAGCGTTTCCACGAATCTTCACATTTTCACGAATCTCCTACTTCGGCATGAATAAACGAGGGGAGTTATTAGGATTTATTATAAATACAATTTTCATCAAACGGTTGCCACGTTCGAACTTATTGCGTGCTACATTGGGCTAGCGTCTTTCGGTTTGGTTGTTGTGGATAACCCAGAATATTGGTTTTCATTCTTCGCAGTGCTACTATACTAGATAACAATACAGGCAGTAGGGCATTACTTTCCGGAACTTATATACATGTTACTTTCGTTAATTCATCCTCTTTACATGCACTTATCTATTAACTAAAAGATAATTATTTGGTAGGAAGCCATAAATAATGGATTGATGGCAAATCAATTTATATCGTTCTAATTTAAATAGCAAGCGGCGAAGATACAACTGTTTTTACTTGAACCCAATAAATGTATTTCCAAGGTAGCGAGTGGTGCAATATCAGAATGATATTCAATAGATCTGACAAAAGACTTACAGAAATACATTTGCGTTAGTGTGCAACAGGACTCTTGAGTTGCATAGTATGGTATTTTTTCTGCTACAGCATCCTAGCATTATACGCGCACGGGTCCATAGGCATTGAGAATGGATTGCGAGTTAGTCTCGCGCAACCTCCACTGATATTTGTATTGATGTTTCGAATTTTACAAAACGGTCCACTAAAAAGTTGTAGAAACTCAAGCGACATCGGCGCACATTATACTCAATTCGAAATTGAAGCATTATCATGGCCCCTGGAAAGACATAAATAAAAATCACAATACCGCGAATATAACGCTCAATTTCGACGTTTTTGTCCGTTGGCGTGAAGTGTTTGTAGCATCTTGTGTGTTCATCCACAAGAGCGTTTTGTAAATCTAGCGTTAATAGTGAACTGCTATTCTAATATTTTAATATTCAATATTATATTCGAATATTTTGCCTTAACAAATTAGTTTTGATGAATTGCAAATAAATCGCCGACCGACTGTTAGAAATATGAGAATTTCTCGTCTCTTTAGTTAAATATTCAACCTACATTTCATGCTGTGAACATATTGGATTTGTCCTGTTGTGCGGCCGAAATAGATAACAAGGCTTCAATATGGGATGTTCAGGAAGACAACCGAAGAGCCGGGACTTTTCCTATATTTGGGGTGTGATTAGGACTTTTATGCTATCGGGAGTAATCGAAGTCATTGGTGTTTAATATGAAACACATTTCTTTTTCATTCATTCCATTATTTTGTCACCGTTTCGAGTATACAATTTATCTGATGTAACCCGTCCGCCGGTCTTATAAAATTATATATTTATTTTGATTGCAAAAACATCAGTAGATTGAAAGTCCCACAAATTTGGGGAAAACAGAATTATTCAATAAAAAAAGAAAAAGAAGCTATAGTATTTGAAGAGAAGTGTAAAAAAAAAAAGTGATGTGGATTAGATATAATTAAATATTTCACATAAAGTATTCTAAATCTAATAGAATAATAAAAAGCATTGAGTTTTGATTTGCATTGGTAACTTTTCATTTTAGATTTTGTTGAATTACATCAACGAATTGGAAATTTTCAGCACACTCAAATCTTCTCATTTTGGACTTTTGAATTCGATGTTAATGAAAATCTAGCAATTTTGATAACAGCACAAGAGTTTTCTTCCGCTGCAAATTCCAACATTGAACTTGAAGTCGAATATTTTCTAAGTACCATTGGCGATTTGTTGTAAAACGTTGTTTAGAATTATTGCAAAGTTCAAAGGTTTTTCATCAGAAATCAACATGTAACAAACAAATGCATAAATAAATATAAGTTTGAACATTTTAATGCGTGAACACATACCTTTGAATAAAGTATGAGCGTGATGATTTGGATCTTCTATGAGAAGAGATTGTTTTCTTGGCAAGACCCTCTGGTTTTGGGAGTTCAGGATCTTTGGGGAATCTAATGAGCAAATGAGGAAAGAGTGTTTGAGATATGTGAATAGAATATATAATACCTCACAGTGTAAATTGGTATTAATATTTTTTTGAAGCATTCAATACATGATTATTATATATAATGCGTCGTTTATCATCTTAATATTATTAAAAATAACATTATTTTATTAACCTTAAATCCGTAATTATATCTGTAAAGCTTGATAGAATCGACAAATTTTTCATTAATCCATTTTTCGTGAATATCTTCAATTAGATGTTGTTCAATGAATTTTTGAAGGAGTTTGCAACCTGAAAAAGACATTTATTGTGATTAAATATCAATTTCGACTCCGAATATCATAATTCGATTCAATTTATACAAGAAGGGATGAAACCATACCTGAATTCGTAAAATGTTTCCAAATATTTGCTTTGATTGTAAAATGGAATGCATTGTATCGACTGCAGATGATCCCGTAAAACATTCTTCATAAATTTTCAAATTTTGCCTTTTTTTCTTGCATTGCATTTTTGACTTGAAAGTATCGACAAGATTATTCCAAACCATTGTTGCTTTAAACGTACTTGTTGTAGCCTTGGCATTCTTGTCGGTCGTATAGTTGTTGTTGTCAATTCTTGAATATGATTTTGCGTTCATTTCGATATTGTCCTCAAGAAATTAAATTTAGTTCAATTTGCTTCTCTAAGTTAACTGCTAACTAACTTTCTCAATACCAATATATATATTTCTGCTATCAACATTTTATCAATTAACAAATAAAAGATATAAATTAAATAAGTTGTTTCTTTTGATATTATGTAATTATTTTGATTAATGTTATAATTTTTTATCACATTCGCGATGAGAGGATTTATTGATAAGCTAAGTATTTCTGTTATCAACATTTTATCAATTACCAAATAAAAGATGTGAATCATTGTGTAATTAAGTTTTAGTTTAACATTATTCTTTTATCTTACATTGGTGATAAAAAGATTATACTACCAAATAACAATTATACCAGTTATAATATGTTCTCCTTATTGTGGGAAAATTCCATGTTCAAATCTCGTGAATCGTTGGACGAAAACGTTTGGTCCTTACAACAATAAACTATCTGTATTTTATGATTATAATTTTTTATTATGTCTTAAGATCAGTTTTCTTAGCGCATTCATTCACCTACATTTTCACATGCAACGACCAGGCGTTATGATACAGCAATGCAAACAGAATATAGCAGTGCTCATAAGGTCCAATTCAAGTATATTTATAAATGACGATAATAGCAAAGGTTCAGACTTTTCATTCCGTCGAATTTATAACTTACATCTTTAAAAATAATAAAACATTCAGAAAAAAATCGATTAATTTTTGTCCGTTGCAGTAAAACTTGAACAATTAATTACAAGTCCTATAACACACTCGAGCGATTTAATTGATATAATTCTATAAATGAGGAAGTAGGCTACTTGCAGTGTGAAAACCCGTGTATGATTCTGAACATATCAGGTACAACACAATTAAAAGGTGTGAAACTAGGTATTTAAAAGATTCACACTTTTTGAACACATTTGCGGAAAAAGAGACAAACATTGTTAGATGTTGTGAGTAACGCAGCGGAAAATGTATATTTACACAATTCTCCCATCTCAGCTGGGCATTGATATTTTTACAAATATTTGCATTAATTTGTTACATGCGCCCCATGTATATCAATTATGATACAAGCTGGTTTAGTTATTTTCGAACATGAAGATCGATTAAAGTTCCTCATCTTCATGTATTGTGTGATTGGGCTTCAGTCATTCTTGATACAAGTTTATCATGATCTGCTCTTGGTGACCAAAGTTTGATCCTGCACACACTCTCCCTCACGAACACTCTCAAAAAACAGTATATAACTATTTTTATGATTGAGTTTCTGCATCTCTCTGATTTTGGGCAATTTTGTGGCTGTGTTAAGTATCATAAACTGGCATTTTGTCAGGCTATGCGGGATAGTTTACACTCTACAGCGATTGTCGGCTTCCATATATGGCGGAACTGGGTGCTAAACGTCGGATGTCTGAAATTGCACCTGATAGTTATTTTTACTGCGGACACGCTTCACACTAATTGCGTTTGTCTATTAAATGATAAATATCAAACTAGTTCATACATTTCATTATAAATATAAGTACAGGCGTCTAATTCTCTATTCTCGTGTGATGTAAGTCTTAGGCGCATTGAGGATGAAATATAGGTGAATTATCGGTACTGCCGAAGTATGTGAACCAAGATGGCGGACACCGGAAAGTAGTATGTGTACCAGGTCAGGGTTAGTCCATAATTTAATTTCAATTTTCCTTATTTTAGTTCTATTACGAGTGTGGGGATTAGCCAAACCGGTACTACGTTCCGGTTTCCGCCATCTCGGTTCACATAGTTCGGGAGTACCAAACTATGACTTTCGATTTCAGTTCAAGCATTTTGAATTCGAAGTGCATCCTTACACACGTACACTGATAGCTAAGATTTGATTAAGATATTGCTTATTATAAAACGACGTGGGTCTGATTGTATGAATCCCATGTTATTACATTACTAAGGAATAGCGGCGGTTCAATAAAAGCTTTATCTTTTTATCATAACTGTCAGTTTATTTACAAGTAAATTATCGAGGTATATTTTGATCATAACAAGTTTATCTTTCTTCGCTGATAATTATTTATATATATACCTCATTTAGAAAGTCAATCAACATAATTAGAATAGCTAGGTAAGAATAAATCTTAATTAGCAGCACATCTTGAAAAATTATGGAGAATCAAAATAGAGAGTTAGATTACAACAACTGTCCCATCGAAAACACTAAATCAGAAAACAAAGCTTTCAAAGCAACAAGGGTATGGAACGTAATTGTGAATTCGTTCGAAACACAAATGCATTGCGGTCGAAGAAGAAAGAATCTTAGAATTCATGAAGATTGTTTCACCGGTTCATCTGCTGTCACCACAATGCATTCTATTTTAAAGGAAATGAAAAACTATGAGAACGTGTCAAGATGTCAGGTACGGAGACTAGAATAGAAATCGCGAGTTTTCACCTGAAAGGAATAGAATAATTTTATAGGTTTAGTTGTTAAAATTTTGCCAAATGTTTTGAATATTTTTTTTTATCCAATGTCCAGGCCAAAAAACTGCTACAAAAAATAATGAATCAACGTATTATAGAAGATGTGAATGGCAAATGGTCGGCGGAAGAATTCAAAGACTCGGGGAAAATTATATAGGTAATTATATCTCTAGAAAACGTATGTAAACACAGATTTATTATTGTAAGGTGGACAACTTTTTCAAAATCTTCAACTTTTTCAACAACTTCAACCTTAGGAAAATACTTTTTGCAGTCCATGTTTTAAGTAGAATGCAAAATTATACTCAACTTTCTATGTGAAGGCATTGCTATCGAAAACAAAGAGTTGTTTAACTCACAATAAATGTTGCTATTCTTTTTGCAGATTTTGTAGATGTGATTTTCAAAACGAATTGAATAGTAAGAAAGACTTGTCGCTGAATCGAAGAGGTTCAATTCAATCACTAATAAAAACGAAGGTTTGTCATTTATATAATGATATTTAATTGATATGTGTATGATCTTGTGGCGCGTTCTCGTCAACGCAATCAAATGCAATGTATATTGTATTTTGATGATACTAATGCGATGCAAAGATTTTAATAATAAATCATTGAATATACATTCAATTTCTCAGGAAAAGTGGTCAAATAATTGGCGAGTGAAATATTATTTATTCTAATTAAAATTTCTTGTTTTATTTTCAGCCTCTTTCACGATCAAAATCAACTATGTCTCATTCTCCGGCAAGGGTAAAAAATACTCAATCACTTCCTACAACGCGGATAACACATCGGATGGGGAATCTTCTAACGTCATAAAAGTAGCTAGATTTCTATTTTCGCTAAGGTCTAAGCAATCAAATACGCATTAAAATGTTCTTAAAAAATTTTCGACTCCAGAACTATTTTGAAATGACACAATGAATGTATTGTGTGTATGTATTTTTCTATCTATGTATCTAAATATATATGTATTATAAATGATGCATTTTTCATTATGCAAACGTTTTCTTTTTTATATTTTATTATGCAATTATACAAATTCATTTATAATTTACTCTTCATTAGATCGTTAAAGTATATTACAGGTTGGGTTGAAAACTAGAAATTTAAAAATTAGGTATAGCCTACAGTTTAAAAATTAACTTTAATGGGGCAAATCATATTGAACCATTAGATGAGCTAACAAAAGAGCCATGCTCAAATCTATGGGCAAGAAGGCAAAAACAAAAATTTCATCCATGTATTTCCAAAAATTCATACCCTGGTCCCAACAGTGAAGCAGCTCACGAGTACCGGTTTGGTATCCGTACTGCCTAACTGCCTTAGCTTCACCAGGTCCTATGACGATGATGATCCATGCGTCTAATGCCAATGTGAATTTAAATACCAAATGATTCGACTAACTACTGTAGAATCTAATATTTTACAGTAGTTTACCTTTTATAGCAACTTACTGCATCTAGTCTACAGTGCGTTACTGATTTCAAAAACTTTCGATTTTGGCGTAACACGAGTTTCCATTTCCCAAACACAAAAGAAAGGCAGCCGTCGGCCGTCGCGCTTGGCGAAAATGAAACCGTGTTCCCAAAAATAAAAAGTATAGCGAAATTTAGGGTGAAATATTATATCTCATAGAGTTAATAAGAACTTTAGGAACAAATAAAAGTAATAGGCGTCTAGCAACTACTTTCCATAAAGACTGAATTTCAAATCAATTGGTTAACTGTGTTGCCGATATAATAATGTTCCGTGATCGATAGGAAAGATGCTGCATTTCAATATTACCATACTACTACATGAAGATTCTGATTTTCGTCAATATCGATTGTCCAAAATCAAACCCGGTAGGAAGGCATATAGCTAAATTCAAACTACACCATCAGGAGCAAGTTTTATGTACTGGCTAGCAGATGGTGACGTTTATTGGGAATCAGGGATGAAACAATATAGGTCATAATAGCCCCATAAATCTTTATGTTGTGTTTAACAGATGATTTGGAACACAACTTCGAAATATATATACTTGAAAGCTGTTTCTGATTACCCTGATCTCGAAACTAGTATCATAGTCGCCAAAATGGGACTGACAATGTAGAGAACGAAGTCAGTCGCATACTCCATTCCGACGATTGGTTAACGTCTATAGTATACCTTTGATGTTCGTTTTCCATCAAATTTAGATCTAATGTATTGGGACTGCAATCTTGTTGATTTGGCTATTGTGAACAGCTGAATTATATATATACAGAGGGGATGGTGAGTCACTGATTACGGTGGGTAAGCTATTTCATTTCAACAGGTGTCTTTTAGGCTTTTCAAAATTCGACATTATAATTATCTCATGTAAAACGAATGGCGGTCTAAGACAGGGATACTAAACTATTCTTACCAAAAATCCGTACACAAAATTTAAAAATTACCGGAATACGGTCCTTCCAAGTAAGATATTTAACTATGCCAACATAATTTCATATGCATCGATTGACAAACTACAAGAGCGATGCTCAAAATCGCGCTTCGGTGCGGGAATTTGGAAAAGTAAACGAGTGAGTCGATGCTCTGTGAATTTTTTCTCAGTGGTTTATCGAAAATTGCATTACATCAAAATTGTGAAATGAAAAGAAACGATGCATTCAAAGTCAAGAAGCAGCTGCGGTCCAAATGAAATACTCGAAAGGTCTGTATTTGGAACGCCAGTTCAGTAGCCCTAGTCTAGGACACACTACGGGCACTCGTTTTCAAAAAATAACAATTTTGTAGCCTAGGTGCATTATGAGAAAAATTACACGCTTGGATGAGTTTTGATGGTGCCATCTTTGTTTGGCCTCGTTGATCTCCATTTTAAATATTATGATTGCGTTGGTAGATTTGTAAATATGGGTAATATGGTTTTTTGTTGTTGTTATGTGCATGTATAATCTTTTATTTTTCTGAATTGTCTATGCAAATGTTTTTTTCTTGGAAAATGGGATAACCTGGATCGAACCTGAAATTCGAAAATTGATTGGCAAAAATTGAAATAATGTATTTGGATAAACCAAAACTATCATAAATACGATTCGGCAATGGATTTAATTTGAACAAAAAAGGTGGTTTAGCACCTTATTAGAAGATTTAGAGTAGGATGAGAAACCGAAAATATAGATGCCATGGAATTCCGGTATGTCCTTTATCCTATTAACCTTGATAGTGGATTTGTTACACCGATTAATAATATCAATATCCGAGCAATTACTCAACAATTACTTTTTTTTCAAACTCTCTGCCACAAATATAAATAAGATCATCAAGTGCATATACATCGTATACAAAGGTTAATTGGATTCGATTATAATATGGTCCCTCCCTAGAAATCGAAGTTAAATCATCTTTCCACGCTCCTGTTTAATGACGTAATAATGTGCGAGACAAAGTTATGGCACTAAACTAGTTACTAAATTAACGTTAATAACGTTAAACTTAGCGGTATAACGCCTGCAAATCAATACCGTGAAATTACACATAACTCGTATATATTTTTTAAATTGTTCTAAAATCTTGGGTTTGTTACATTTCTTCCGTTTAAAGCTGGTGTTGTCAACCTACTTTTATTGAAATCGACTAAAAATGTTCGTTACACCTTGCGATTGGCTGAATTTCGATGTAACAGAAAAATGCACGACTACCCGATTTAAAATCCAATATCAATGAACTCTATAAGAACTAATGTGAGCAAAGGATGTTTTATAGCTTTCTTATCCCGCTTCAATGTGAATCTAGTTTACACCAGATTCAGAGGTTCCGCTTTCACGGGGCGTTGAATAATTTTCAGAAACTTCAGATCAAACCGCTGTGTCAAAATTTAAATATCCCCGTATTATGCATTACACTCTTACTGACGCTTCGCTAATCGATAGTGTACGAAAAGATTACATGTGATAATTATTCGAATATGGGTATCGATACGGTGTCACGAACCCCCAAGGTGAGAGTGTAACCTCGGTCAAATATGTCAGAGTTTAAAGAGTTTGAAAGGGGAATAGTTGAAAACACGCTTGCCACCTTCACATTTTGAATCAAAGTATGGCGGGCAGGACGGAATAGCTTCGTAGGCGGATGCGTCCCGCGGTTCTGTTACCGCTGCACTATAACATGCGGTACAGCTTATGAAAGTGGTACACCATTCAAACGTTTTGGTACACCCACATGCAGTGTACCAAACACCCACTTGACGGTAACTGGTGTAGAGTCTGTTGAGGCGATATGTTGGACGCCATTTAGAGCAGGAGTGAACAATGCAAAAAGGGATTCGTGCGAAAGTTTTAAAAATAATCTTGTGGCGTGCCACACCACGTTCGAATAATTGATGATCTTGTAAACGAACTTCCATAAAGCCCATATAACAACAAACTGTAAAAAACACCTGACACCAAATACATATTAACGAAAACAATTAAATGCCCTGAAAAACCACTGCTTTACAGTCGTTTTTGATGGACCATATTTGAAATGCCGGGCTTCAAGGAAAATATAGCGATGCGCACCATTGAATTTGAATACTCTTTGAACCCTGAAAGCCGCTATAGCGGTTTTCCCGAGAAAGTCTTCGACGCTGAAAGCCGCTTTAGCGGCTTTCGCATCCCGTAAGAGGTATGCAACTTTGAAACCTCATATCTCGAGAACCATTTATTATATTTAGACAAGTTTTACATCGTGTGAAAGATAATCTACAGGAGTAAGTATAATTTTAAAATTGAGATAAAATATTGTGATCATCATATGAAAATTGGCAAAATTAAAAAGCATAAAAAACTTCTGAAAATTGCTCAAATCTAATTGACAAAACTTCAATTTGTTTTCGATTAAACCTGGTACATTATCGACAAAATTTGTAGAATTTGAAGATAGCTTTCCAGTGATACCATTAGATTGAACTTATGTAGCACCATTCAAATTTTATAAGCATTTTTATTCGTGATTTTGTTTGTCGCAAGATCGAGGCAACGTCAAGGTGACGTAAATAACGACCTAACACATTTACGCCGTTACGCAGCGACGTTAAGCAATTACGTTGGCACGTAGCACGTTTACGTTTCGTACGAAAAACACTTTTCCTCACATGCTCGTAACGTCATTTACTTAAGTTCGTACTCGTGAAGCGACTAACGACTTGTTAACGATACACGGGGAAATTTACGCATCACATCCAGCCTAAAAATCTGTTCGACTAAAATACACAATACGCAGTGTTATTGCCGTTTTAATTGCATAAAGATATGAAAAATAC